ATACATGAACAAGGCAAAAAATCATTAAAAAGATTGGAAGGAAAGAAAAGACCAAAATGGATGTCAGAAGAGACTCTGAAACTTGCCCTTGAATGTACAATAGCTAAAGAGAATGAAAGAACTTAAATAAAAGAGCTGAACAAAAGATCTCAAAGGTTGACTCAAGAAGACACAGTAAAATATTATAATGAAATGTGCAAAGATCTGGATTTGGAAAACCAAAAGTGAAGAACACACTTAGCATTTCTAAAGTTGAAGGAACTGAAGAGAAAATTTAAGCCTAGAGCCACTCCTCAGAAGGAAGGTTGGGCAATACTACTTCCGTAGTGATACTGCCTCGGAAACCCAAGGAGGGGTCGCTATGAGTCGGGGCTGACTCGACGGCACATAACAACAACAACAACAACAGAGTTCCAGTATTATAAATTAAAAAGGATTCTACGAGCAAAGTATTGAATGACACAGGAAGTATCAAAAGATGGACAGACTACACAGTCACTGTACTAGTTTACTTCCAAACATTTCAGGAGGTGGCATATAATCAAGAGCCAATGGTATTAAAGGAAGTTGTCCAAGCTGCACTGAAGGCATTAGCAAAAGCAAACCAACACCTAGAAAACCAAACTCACTGCCGTTGAGGTGATTCGACTCACACAGTGACCCCTTCTTGGGTTTCTGAGGTGGTATCTCTACAGAAGTAGATTGCCCAATCTTCCTTTTGAGAAGTGGCTGATGGGTTTGAACTACCAGCCTTCTGGTTAGCTCCGACTCACACAATGCTGTCGAGTCGGTTCCAACCCATAGTGACCCCTCCTGGGGTTTCTGAGGTGGTATCTCTATGGAAGCAGATTGCCCAGTCTTCCTTCTGGTTAGCAGTCAAAGCCCAAACAAGGCTCCAGGAATAACGGAATGCCATTGAAATATTTCAACAAACAAATCTGATGCTGGACCCTTTCACCAGTCTATGCCAAGAAATTTGGAAGATAGAAAGCTGGCCAACAGACTGGAAGAGAATCCATATTCAGGCCCATTCTAAAGAAAGGTGATCCAATGGAATGTGGAAATTATCAAATAGTGTAATTAATATCATACATAAGTAAGATTTTGGTGAAGATAAATCAAAAATTGTGGCAGCAGGAAATGGACAGGGAACTGCCAGATATTCATGCTGGATTCAGAAGAGGATGAGGAATGAAGGATATCATTGCTGATGTCAGATGGATCTTGGATGAAAGCAGAGTTACTATAAAGATGCTTATCTGTGTTTTATTAACTATGTAAAAGTATTTGACTGTGTGGATTGTAATGAATTATGGGCAACATTGCAAAGAATGGGAATTCCACAACACTTACTTGTACTCATGGGAACCATAGACCAAGAGACAGTTGGTGGAACAGAACAAGGGAACACGGTTGTTATGTTGTTAGGTGCCATCGAGTCACTTTTAACTCATAGCGAGCCCAGGCACAGCAGAACGAAACGGCGCCCGATCCTGTGCCAGCTCCATGATCCTCGCTATACTTGAGCCCATTGTCGCAGCCACTGTGTCAATCCATCTCGTTGAAGGCCTTTCCCTCTTTTGTCAATCCTCCACCTTACCAAGCATGACATCCTTCTCCACTATGTGGTTTAAAATCAAGAAATTTGTGCATCAAAATTGTATCCTTTCACCATACTTTTTCAATTGGTATGCTGAGAAAACAAGAAGTTAGACTATATGAAGAAGAATAGAGCATAAGGTTCGGAGAAAGATTCAGTAGCAATCTGCTATATGCAGATGACACACCTTGCTTGCTAAAATTGAAGAAGACTTAAAGAATTTACTGGGGAAGATCCAGGACTACAGTCTGGATTACATCTCAACATAAAGAAAACAAAAATCCTCATAACTGGACCAATAAGCAACATCATGATAAAAAGAGAAAAGTTTGAAGTTATCAGGGATTTTGTTTTACTTGTATCCACAATCAATGCCAATGGAAGCAGCAGTCAAGAAATCAAATGACTTATCACATTGGGAGAAATCTGCAAAAGACTCTCCAGAGTGTTAAAAAACAAAGATGTCACTTTGAAGACTAAGGTGTGCCTGACTCAAACCATGGTATTGTCAATCACCTGATATGCAAGTGAAAGCTGGACAATGAATAAGGAAAACTGCAGAAGAATTGATGCATTTGAATTACGGTGTTGACAAAGAATATTGAATATACCATGGACTGCCAGAGAGTGAACAAATCCATCTTGGAAGAAGTACTACCAGAATGCTCCTTGGAAGTAAGGATGGCAAGACTTCATCTCATTTACTTTGGACATGTTATAAGGAGGGATCAATCCCTGGAGAAGGACATCATGCTTGGGATAGGAGAGTGTCAGTGAAAAAGAGGAAGGTGTTCATTGAGATGGATTGACACAGTGGCTGCAACAATGGGCTCAAACATAGCCACAATTGTGAGGGTGACACAGGACAGAGCAGTGTTTTGTTCTGTTGTACATATGGTCTCTATGAGTCAGAATGGACTCAACGGCACCTAAAAACAGTAACAGCAGCCTGCCCTCAGACCTACCCTTCAGAATTTCCAGTCAGTGAGGCCTGGGAGATTCTGAGAGGCTTTAATGTTAAAGAATCACTAGACTCCATGACTCTGAGACCAGAAGAACTAAAGATGGTGCTTTACCAGTACCAATCGCTCTGAAAGGGATCACATTATAAGGCCCTGGATATGGAGGGGTCGCTGTGGGTCAGGGCTGACTCAATGGCACACAACAACAACAAGAGTGGGGAAAAGTATGGAACAAAACTCAAAATTATAATAAAAGACTAGTCTTACTGGTTGGATAGAGACTAGTGGATTCCCTGGGTATATGACCCTTAGTTGCTTCCTACTTAGGCCTAAAACTGAACTCAATCTTATGACAATATTTTTAGCCAAAGAGTAGACTGGTGTATAAGGTGAACAATAACACGAGAGAGGTATATACTCCTTAGAACATTCAACGATGTGAGATCAAATGGGCAACAATTTGCCCAAGGACAAAGTTCAGAAGGCAAGAAATGTTAGGAAAGAAGGAACAATGGGAACAGGAAACACAGGGTAGAGGTGGGATAAATAATATTACATTGTGGGGATTGCATTCAATGTCGTGAAACAAAATATGTATGAATTGTTGAATGGAAAACTGAGTTGCTCTGTAAATCTTCACCCAATGAAATTACAATAATAAAAAAAACAAAAGAATCCTTTTTGTCTTTTTGGTTTATTTCCACTTTAGACCTTTGATAGGAGTAGATACAGGACAGAATCCAAATATACTATAGCTTATTTTACTCTTTCTTCTACTATTATCATTCAGCCATTCCAATCATAGCACACTTTCCTGCTTTTATATCTTTATCCACTACGCCTTCTTTCTTATCTCCCAGCACATTTTCTGAAATCTTTTTGCAAAGCTATTCCTATCTCCTCCAACTGTGTGAAATCTTTCACTCTGTTACATTTCCATAATACTTCAAGCTCTACTCCTTTTATGACGTGAAAGTCCTTTTGCTTGTGTAAGATTTATACGCACATAACCTGGTCGTCTTTCATGCTTGTTTGAGCTCTGTGAAGTCAAGGACAAAAATGGCAGGCACACAAATGAAGAAACATGCAACCTTTGAGAAATAAACATCTCAGTAATTAAACTGCTTTCTTATTACTCCTTCTCAGAAGATATTTGGCAAAAGCTGTACTTTTCCTGTCATGGGGAGAGTTTGGCTTAATGAAGGATCAGTTTCTCTTTAAAAGACACAAACTAACAACAACAACCAACAAACAAGGGTATTGGTTATCCACAGAGGGTTTATTTCCACTTTAGATCCCCTAATAGGAGTAACAGAGTGCAGAGGCACCTTACAGAGCATTGCAGCAGTGATATAAAATATGCAAAATATAGCATCCTCTACATATGTCGATCTTAGACATAGGAGTGTATGTTGATGAACTGATTGGAAAAGTGGACAACTTCCCAATTGTTCTCTTGGAATACCTCCTTAGAGCATCTCTGGCTGAGTTCTTTCTCTAATGTAGAATCTTCAGGGAAGAGAGCTCCAGGGAGAAGGATGATAATCAGTCCTGGGAGGGCTAAGGAAAGGCTCCTGGAAGACAATGAATGGTGGGACTGGAAAGACCCTTAAAGGGATCTAATGCTGCCCTTTTATGCATGAGGAAAATGAGGTCCAACGTGGTAAAGTCAGTAGGGGCAGAGTTGGGGCCACAATGCAGGACTCTCAGATCTTTGTCTCTTTTCACTGACTTTCAAGGTTGAGTCTCTGAGTCCCTTGGCCTTGGGGCCCTGGGAAACCGAAGAGTGGATCCCTCTGAACATCTGTGCTGGGTGGATTCTCTGCAGAGCTGGACAGTCTGGCAGGATTCTGGTGAGTCCCAATGTCCTCAGTCCACATTTTCTTCCATTTTCCTGCCCCAAATCAAAGCAGGTCCCAATATGAGTGCTGTCCTTTTGCAAGCAATCTGATTGACTCTCGTGTTTGACTTGGGGTGTAAGTAGCCTTTTCAGAGAATACATTTCAAGGCAAGAGGGTTTCTTCATGCTTGCTGTGGTATCAGGTATTGGTTTCAAATGTTGTCAGCTGGTATTTGAAAGTGGCATATGGGCCCAAACGATGAGTTCTGAGTTGACAGTAGTAATTGAAGGGGCTGGGAGCCTCCCACTGCTATTCCTAATCTCCACAAACCTTTCTAGATGTCTCTTTGTCCTTTGAAATTTCTTTAATGGGGAACATAAGGGATAAAGCTTGGACTACAAGAAACCTTTGGAAGAGAAACCACAGGGATGAAAGTGCTTTAAGGCATTAAACAAAGAGAAGCAGGGACTTTGAGAGTATGATCCCTGTCTCTGAATATCTGACTAGTTTTATCCTAAAAGAGGAACTAGACTTGATGTAAGCCCAGAGGGCAGACTTAGAAAATATATAGACACAGAGTTGAGTTCAACATGAGGACAGTTACATCAATAGGGGGCCAATGGGTGTGACAAGTGAGTAAGAGTGAGTAAAAGCCACTGGGATCAAGGGTGGCCTGGAAAAGAGTGCTGGAACTTGCCTAGAGTTCAGCTGACCTAATCCCTTCATTGTGTCAGTAGGCTGAGTGAGGCCCAGAGAGGAGAGGGTCTTGGCCAGGATCACATACCCAGGACTCTTGTCCAGAGCCTTCCTCTTATACCACACTGCTGTCCCTCAGGGACTCCTTAGGCTGTCTGGGGAGGATGGGAGCCATGTGGGGCCAGTTTATTCCAATTCCTTTGGTCTAATGAGTAACATGGAGTGCGTTGTTGGGAGTGTGTGGTGTAGTCTCATTTGAGGCTGGAGTAGGGCAGGCAGGCCCTATGGACAAAAGTTGGCTCACCGCTCCACCTGGAGCTCCCCAATACCCTGTGGGGAGCCTATCTGCTCCCATACCCAGTCCACATAGTTGGAGACTTTGGTATAGACCCCATAGACCTGCTTGCTGCCACATTCTTCAGGGCCCCCCCAAGACACCAGGCCTTGAGCCACCCAGCGTTGGGTTAAGTCATCAAGGATGACAAAGGCTCCGCCACTATCCCCAAGGCACGTGTCCTTGCCACCCTCATAGTAACCAGCGCAGAACATGTTCTCTGTGACACTGTAGTTGCCTGAGCGGGACTCATAGCTGGTTTTGCACTCGGCATGTGGCACCACAGGTAACTTGACATATTGCAGGACATCTGACAAAGTTCGTGTGCCACTGCTGATGATCTCATCCACTGTCACATTAGGATTGGAGATGCCCCAGCCGGCCACCAGGCCCAGCATGTGGGGTGCTGGGCCCTCAGGCTCAAGTGTTGGCAGACAGACAGGCATGACATGGGGCCCCAGGGGCACAGGCTCCTGTAGCTTCACCAGAGCTATGTCATGGTTATAGTTCTGAATGTTGAAGTCTGGGTGGAGCACCACACGGGCTGCTGAGCTATTGACAGCCCCTGACTTGTCCCGTACATCATGGAGACCCAGGTAGACGGTGACGTGTTCCTTGGAGACTGGGATCACAGTGTTATCCCTGCGCTGGGAGCGTAGTACATGGGCTGCTGTGAGGATCCAGGACTCAGAGAGCAGGGCTCCACTCCCAAACCACTTGTCATTTGGCACCCTGGAGGTGTCCTCAACCACTATCAGGGCCTGCCATGGGAAGAGGCCAGGCTCAGCATTTCTCCCCCCAATGATCCGCTTGACCAGGTTTGGTAGGGAGCGGGAGGGCTGACCACATGCTGTAAGGAGAAGGAGGGGTGGGGAGGAGAGACAGAGACTGGTCAGGTCAGTCATAGGAAAACAGCCACTATGGGAAATTCATATCTCATCTATTATAGATTATGCCACCATGAGACACTACCCTGTCTAGGCCATGCCAGCCTGAGAGATCTCTGTCTTAGGTCACTTTTGGTATAATTTTCTTTTAGACCAGTCTGACCCATTTGTAGCTGGACCATCCATGGGCCATACCACTTCATGCTTGGGTCATCTCCATCCTGAACCATTTGGACTAGCTCGTTTTTGGCCTGGATCATTTTTAGCCAGATCTATCTCTAGTTGTGGTCATTTCTAACCTTCCTTTCCCAGAAAGAAAATTCATATCCCAGAAGTGGTCCATTTTGTAGGTACTTAGAAAATTTCTAAAAACTGTAGATCATGGAATTTGAGAGATGGAAAGAACCTAAAAGATTGTCTGACAGGTCACAGTAAACACTGGGCTAGGAGCCAGGACCCCTGAGGACTTGATTGACCTGGCTTTTCTCTCTTATTTCATGTCTGACTCTGAGTGAGTCACTTTTCCTCTCTGCATTTCAGATTTTGAAATGTGAAATAATGCAGCTGGTCAAGATAAACTCCAAGGATCTTTCAAATTCCAAATTCCTCTAAGTTTTACTTTGCACAGATCCATTGAGTGATGATTCTGACTCTAAGACAGTTCTTAATGATAAATTGAAAAAGATCCTTCCATAACACACACCCACGGTCCTGGTTCTGCTTTCTGAGGACATTTAGAACAAGTCTACACCCTTCTCCAAAAAAACCACTCTCAGTCTTCATATCTAAACTTTGAAAATTAGAAACTTCTCCATTTCCTTCTGACCTCCATTTTAGAGGTGATTAAAACACTCTGAAGGTTAAGTGACAAACCCAAAGTTACATGGCTAATAGGTTGAGAAAAAACAAGTAAAAAACAGTTGCCATAGAGTCTATTCTGACTCATGACAACCCCATGTGAGTAGAACTGTGCTCTGTAGGGTTTTCAATGGCTGATTTTTCAGAAGTAGATTTCAAAGGTGCCTTTGAGTGGACTTGAACTACCAAGCTTTCAGTTAGTAGCCAAAGTGTGTTAACTGTTTTCACCATCCAGAGATTCAGTAGGTTGAGTATCAGGAGCATAACAATTCTAAGATCAAAGTCTTGACCTATATCCCATGCTAGCTCATGACATATAAACGTCATCGTCATGGACCCTCAAACCTTTTTCTTTCTGGCCTAAGGGATTCATGCTATGAATCAATGACCCTAAGACTCAGGGTATTAAATGTTGGGGAAAGGTGGCATAATCTATGAGCAATGATGCATAGGCCCTGCTCTGGACCACTCATCATTGCACCCAGGAGCCCTATAGTACCTTCAGGGGTAGGAGAAAATTCTGAGAAAACTTCATTCCACCAAGTTGCACCCTGAGCATGCACATGCACCACCAGCCTTCTGCAGCCAATTGCCTCTGGCCCATGAGTGGAGGGTCTTCAGTACCGGCACCCACTGGCTAAGAACAAGCTCACATAGACCCTTCCCAGGCAGGGTGGTTGGATCTGGGAGATAAGTCTGGTGTGAGTGTGGGCCTCTTCCTGGTTGCAAATAGTTAGGCTACACTCTTTGGCCCTGAATATTTTCAACAATTCTTTAAAGAGCAAGGAGCATTTGAGTTTTCTTGGAAACTTTGGTAGGTCAGACTTTCAGCCACCTAATGTTTTTCAGATGTTCTTCTTCCTGATGCCAGATGCTTCCTACGCAATCCTGGGGCTTCCTGTCATTTGCCTCTGGCCACATAGGACCTAGTGTTTACTAAATCTCTGCGGCCTGGCCTTTCAGAGTTGAGAGCTGTCCTGACTTCCCAATTACAAGCAGCAGTCTACAAGGCAACATCTCAAGGAGGAACTGTGGCTGGTTCTGCATAACAGCTCATTTAGCAGTGAAAGGCTCTCATGTGGTAAGGAACATCTGTGGCTACAGTCCTTCGCTGTGATGAAGCCAGGGCTGAAGAGTACCCTCCTTAAACCAAAGTGCCAGGGACACACCCCAGATCACAGCATGTCAGAGCTAGAGGAACCTTGATGAATGGATAATTTATAGATGGAGAAACATGTTCGTAGAAGGCAAGTGATTTACTCAAAGTCATTAGTGGCAGAGTCAGAACTGGAACCCATTTCTTATGACTCTACCCTTCATTTTCTTCACTAACGTTCTTGATGTACTCTTGTCATTTCAACAGTTTGAATCATACAAAAAGCCTTTGGAAGTGCTCATTTATTCTTTCCTAGGGCAAAGGAATCTTCTAGAAACATTATATCTTTGCTCAAGTTGAAGCCAGATTTGGGCTCTAGAATATAGAGAGTACTAGGGGAGGGCCATTAGAACAAAACTGTGATTTCCTAGGATTATGGGTTCAAGAGCATGGCATGAAGCATGTTCAGAGTCTAAGAATGTCTCTCATAATATTTGAAATAAGTTGCTCAGTATTGTTTGTGTGGATATCCAAAGTCTTGGGTTCTCCTTCCTGCTCTGTTCCTAATTTCCTGGGGTAGCCTTGGACAAATCACTATACCTCCCTGATGCATAGCTTTCACATCTGTGAAATCAGGGAACAAATAATATTTACTTAGAAGACCCCTTGCAAGGGTGAACTTTATGAGGTTAGATGAAATGGCTCTTTCCATACTGGCTTGCACTTAATTTCAATCTTGGTGTTGAGGAGGAGAAAATTTAGAAGTATTTGGCTTGACTCAAAAATGCACCAGAGTTATGCCTAATACACATGACTCATTGTATCCAAGATGCTTTGTACAAATATAGAGGACAATGATCACTAAGAGTCATAAAATACTGTGAGTGAACTTGGTCTGCTCCCTTATATGTGATGTGTAGAATCCTACCCCCAGAAAGGTGTGATTTCTTATCAGAGATGACAGTCAGGAAGTGGTAAAGTGTGGGATGGATGGCCTTTCCCATGCTCCACCTCCTGATGAGCTCTTTCTTAGGCATAAAGACATCTTATATGAAGTCAGCCTGATGGTTTCTCAACCCTCTATTCCCCTACAATCATGTGTATTTTTCAGTTGCTGTTGAGTTGACCCTGATTCATAGCAACCTCATGTATGTCACAGTAGAATTGTACTCCATAGAGTTTTTCATGGCTGATTTTTCAGAAGTAGATTGGCAGACCTTTCTTCTCAGGTGCTTCTGGATGTACTTGAACCTCCAACCTTTTGGTTAGCAGTTGAGCTCCTTAACCATTCATAGCATCCTGGAACTCCCCATGTAAGTTACTTTCTCCTTAGTGGGATCACTTAATACCTGTAAGGGTCAAGAACCTACTCCCAAAACCTAATACTTTCTTCAGTTCTTAATGATTAATGGCCTACAACTCCATAGCCTTTCATTTTAATGTCTAATTCCACAACTAGAAGTCTACTGAGTGAATTATCAAAGGTTGCTAAAATGTATCATTGAAATAATATGCTATCTCAGTATCTCAGTTTATCCAGCACTCTTAATTCAGTAAAATACAAATGTCACCTGATGCTTAACCATGCTGCAAACTCCTATTGTTCATGCAAATGTCACGGACAGAATCAAGGACACTTAGTTATCTCTGCTCCTCAGTGCAGTCTTGAATGATCATATCTGTCAATCACAACTGTTTTTTTTTTTTTTTAAGTGTAAATTACTGTTTTGAGAATATTAAATTTATTTTTTTGTGTGGTATAGTTTAACTCTGCGGTGTGCATTTTGAAGCTACAGTTTTCTAATGGGTAGATATGAATATATGTATGCATTGTGATTGCAATGTACATCATCCACACTCTTAACGCTAAAGCAGATATCCACAAAATCTCCCCAGAGTCTGTTTACATAGTGACACATCCTGTTACCACAAAATTCTCTTTCCATTTTAAAGTGGATGCAGTAAGTGAGCCACAAAGAAGGCTACAATTAGAGCTTGAACATACTGATTTTTGAAAGAACGCCTTACTGTGTCTTGTTGTTTTATGTTGCATACCATCCCTATAGCATGGTGAATGCTTGAGGACAGGATGCCCACTTTCTGGAGTTTCCTGGCGCACAATAGGTGCATAGGCAAACTGTGTTGGGTGAAAAACCTGGTGGGAAGGGAGCAGAGCTAGAAAGAAGGGAGTCAGGAGGCTCCTTAACTTGATAGATCTGGCTGAATATAGAGGTGGCTTGGTTTCAGAAGACATGAGGCTGGGCTTCTCTGTCTTTTGACTCTCTGAAGATCTCTTAAAAAACAACCAAAACAGCATTCCCCCCCACACACTTCATTAACAGGCAGAGAATCTCAGGGTCCTAGGGCCTTAGATGGGAGACATTGAGGCATAGGACTTGGTGAGTGAGGTACCTGGCAGGCAAGTGGGCAGCCTTCTCCCCAGTATTTTGTTCATCCAGATGCCTTGGGAAGAACAGGTATATATCCCTGGGAGAGTGAAAAAAAATGTGGAAAGAGAGAGAAAATGAGTGAGTTGTAGCACATGGCAAAACAGATCTGGGTTATAACTCTTATGTTGTGGGTCACTACAACATTCTAAATGTTCTTTGTGAGCCAGTCATCTCCCCACAGCAACTGGCAGGGTCTTTCTAAGATGAAAATCTGACCACATCCTCCTCTGCTAAAACCTCCAACAGCTCCCCATTGGCCTCAGAAATAAACATGAAACTCTCGTGTGAAGTCCAAGGCTTTGCAAACAAAACTGACCATCTGAGAATTGCTCTGCTTCCTGCTCTGCACTTTCCAGGCCCTGGCACGCACCTCTTCGTGACTAATCACCCAGGCCTCTGGGCTTCAGATGCCCTCCCTGCCTATCTCCACTTACTTAAAGAACTCTTTTTTTTTTTTTTTTTAAAAAAAAAAAAACCCTTGTGTGTCCACCAACTCATTTGTTTCATAATAGCTTTGTGAGTTCTATCACAGTCCACTTTTTGATACTTGATGACTTGGAAGTCTAGAGAAATTAGGAGAATTTTCTTAGCATTAATGTGCTTTGGTCATGTTGTCAGAAAGGACCCATTCCTGGAGAAGGATATCTTGCTGGGTAAAGCAGAAGGTCAGCAAAAAAGGGGAAGACACTCAATGAGATGGATTGACACAGTGACTGCAACGATGGCTCAAGCATAGCGAGGATTGTGAGGATAGCACAGGACAGGGCGGTGTTTCATTCTGTTGTGTATAGGGTCATTATGAGTCGGAGTCTACTCAACAGCACCTAACAACAACTATAATGTGTCAGAAGAGAATTTACAAGCTCTCCTATCTCCCTGAAGTTTCCTTGTCTGCTGTAAGTGAGTGAGTGAATGAGTAAGTGTTAGGGATCTGGGTGCTGTGTGGCTTAACTCTTGGAGGTGTGGGCCTGAGACAGGGAGAAGTGGGGCATGTATTTCTCCAAATGTTTCTCTTCCAAATTCCTCCCAAACTTCCACTGAGACCAACAGACTGGCTGTTATTGGTTCTTTGTCCTCTAGCCCTCTTGCTAATATCCAGCTCCAGGTGCTTGGATGAGGCCTAGACTCTGGGTCAGGGGATTTGCTGATCTAACCTGGTGAGGCAGCAGATCTGCCCCTTACTTACCCTCACCTCACAGGGAACCCTGTACAGGTCAGGGAAAAGGTCTGTGAGGGAAGAATTCCACAATACCTGCTGAGTGGGCCTGGTCTGGTCAGATGCCACACTGGGACAAAGACCAAGGCAGAGACTGGTGGAAGCAGCAACACAGGCCTTTTCCCTGTGGCAGCAGCTCAGCCTCAGGCAACATGTAATTATCTTGGGAAATCCCAGGCTTCCTTCAGAGTTCTCATTTCTTCCCTTAGTTGTTTCTGTATATGACCCCTTTATGTTCCCAAAAATAAGATCTAGACTCATTAGTAGAATTAGTGCTAGACTGAAATTAAAAGGAAAAAAAAAAAAAGCCCGGGTTTGGGTCCTGAGCTTCTGTTTCTGCCTCTCTAAATAGGCTGGGGTTGTTTCAGACCCCAGCTTAACTCTGAGGCCCAGGATCACAAGGTGGGACGTTTATTATGAAGGGCTCACCTGTGATATTGGGGAGCATCTTGTAATAGGGCTGCTGGCAGGAGTAAATAACCTCAGATTTGTATGTGGTGAGGTTGTTCCTGGTGGAGAAGGTGAGGAGCCCATGTTCCAGCTCTGCTGGGGCTCTGCAGTCTGCAACTGAGAGAAAAGAAGAGTTAGACCCCATGAAATACCCCTCACTATCTCTCCTGGGACCATCTAGTATGTCTGTCACATATGCATATGTGGGTTGTGCAGCTCCGGATGTGCAGTACACAACCTGTGCTCCTGGTTTTGGGGTCTCTCACATCCACTGTGGTATTACTTGTGTGGTCAACTCACCTGGCTTGATGTCAACTCAAGGGCAGGAGCAGGTCTGCTGAGATGTAAGTAGACCCTAGTTTCATCCCCACAAGGGCCCCTTTCCTTGACTTCCAGTTCTATTGTGCAATCCTGTCAGCTTCTTCTGCCCAATCATGAAGCCCATGGCTCAGTGAGAAAATTCTGGCTGACAAGAGCCAAAGAATCTTCGGTTCTTCCTAGCCCAACCATATGCTGAGTAAGAGTGGTTAATGTTCTCACATTGGAGCTTGGTACAAAAATTCAAAACCAAACAAACAGAAAAACCAGCTTCTGCATGATTATACACCCAAACCTGTCGGCTCTCCACATGCTGCTCCCTTGTCCGAAGATGCACGAAGCAGGGTTGGGGTGGACCAGCTTCTAATCTTCACGTGCTCTTTTAATCTACCTATTGGTGGCTAGATGTTTTGGCTGGCTGTAGCCTCAGTGTAGGACAAGACCAAAGATGCTCACTCCTCAGAAGTGGTCTTAAGGGAAGCTCCTCTGTCCCCTACTAGGCCACATGTTCAGCCCCCAACTGAGTCTAGTGTGATTCAGATCAGAGACTGAGCACCCGACTTGCCATTGGCTCCTTAGGCACTTCCTTTGTGGATGGCATTCATTTTGAAGGAAATCCCAATATTTGATGTAACAGCTTATGCCAGTGTCAGAGAATCAGAAAAATCACATAATTTTACAATTGGAAAGAACATGAAGGCAAGCAACCTAGAGTACCTTTTTTATTTTATAGATGAGCCCAGAGAGGAGACTGACTGGCCTAAGGCCGTACAGCAGGTCATTGTTAGACTGGGAACTAGAATTCAGTGCTCTTTGACTTATTTCAGTGCTCTTAACTGATAGTTCTTAAGAATCTATTTACCAGTTAAAAGGCCTATACTAGGTATAATTCTTGGATTTCTCTATGATTCTTTGACTCTGGCATAGGCAGTTAAAATAGCCTATATTTGATATTAAGGAACCCTGGTGATGCAGGGGTTAGCAGCTGAGTTAAAAGGTCACTGGTTCAAACCCACTAGACACTCAGTGGGAGAAAGATATGGCAGTCTGCTTCCATAAAGATCACAGCTTTGGACACCCTAGGTAGTTCTACCCTGTCCTGTAAGATTACTAAGAGTCAGAATTGACTCAATGGCAATGGGTTTTTTGTTTTGTTTTTTTGTTTATTCAATATTAGATGGTTACTGGTGGACATTCACTGATAACTTCAGAGGACAACATTCCACAGCCCTGATAGAATTTCTAGAGTTCCTCCTCCTGAATTTAACTTACTTATCTTGGGAAACAGCGGGGATAATTTACTCCTGAAATGCTATTCAGATATTATGATTTTATAACCCAAATTCATCTTTGTGATGGAAAGAATTTGCCTAACTTAAAATATAGATGTTTCCCAGACTCTCCAGGGTGGAGGAGAGGGATAAAGAAGGATAGGAGTAAAGGTACTATTTATCCACAAGGAAGACACTAGCCAAGAAAACTGATTAATGCTTTGTCCTGGTCTCCATTCCCTCTGGACAAATCATTCTCATTTATTTTGATCACTCAAAAATAGACATACGCTTATACTCTGTAAGGTGAAAGTATGAGGGTCAACACTAGAATAACAAGAGGTGATAATATTTATTATTTTAAACTGTAAACAGTATTAAATTCGTTTTCCTGATGGTAGTCACAGCAGATTTTTCCTCCCCTTTTGGGAAATGCTATTGATTGGCACCTAGGTATGGTCATTAACCTTGGCAGGGTTATCTCTTATCTTCCTGAACTTTGGTCGGCCAGTTCATTTGCCTAAAACATCCTCAAGACTTGACTACCTAAGCCCTAGTAGAGGAATCCCAGGGTGGGTCTTTGACATTGCTGGATGGTCAGGGTACTGGGAGCCTGTTTTGTTCCCCCACAGGCCAGATGATATTTTCTGGGTAGAGTGCCTGCTTTCCCATCACTCTGGAGAAGTAACTTTTACCCACTGAGGTGGTGGTCCTACAACCAGATAAAAACCAAACCAAACCAGTTGCCATTGTGTTGATTCCAACTCATTCAGAGTAGAACTATAATTTGTAGGGTTTTCAGTGGCTGTGAACTTTTGGGAGTAGATTGCCAAGCCATTCTTCCAAAGCACTTCTGGGTGGATTTGAACCACAAGCTTTTTGGTTACAAGGAAGATGAGAAATGGTGCAAAAGTTATATTAAGTGAGGAAAGATGCATTTTCTTCTCACTTCTACCATGGCCTGCAAAAAGCCATGACTATCTGAAACTTGGAGCCAATTTTCCTTTATAAGGAGCCTTGAACAGCACTTTCTGGCCCATTCAAAGATCCTATATTCAGGTCCTGCCTCTTTGATTAGTTTATCTGTTTTTGGTCCTGGAAGTGTTCCATCCTTCTCTTTAATGCTTCTTCTAGTCACAATCTGGAATCAAAATGCATTTCCCTTTCCCTTTCTCATTTCCATGGTCTCCCTTTCTCATCATTTTCTGGGCTGTGATGTACCATCCTACACTCTTTCTCCACTGTCATCTCTCTATGCATTTTCCTGAAGATTCACCTTTCTTGACCCAAGCACTGCTTTGTTACAATCCAAGGGCTTCCCAGAGAAAGGTTCACATTCATCCCACCCAGGATTCAGGTCACAGGGATCTAAATCCAGCCTTCTTCCCAGCCTCATTTCCATCCTTTCCCTTGGTGCACCTGACCCTTCACTGTTCTGCATTCTCATCTACTGCCTTCCCCCTGCCAGGCCTTGGCTTGTGCAATTTCTGCTGCCTGGGATACCTGTGCATCCACGCTCCAGCCACTCTGGGGGCCTGGGCCAAACATTACTTCTCAAAAGCCTTTTCTAATTTTTCTAACTGGAAAGGGCTGCTTTCTTGCTCTCCTTCCAGAATCCTTCATTCATCCCTCTTTGGTGGCATGTACCTTTTGCAGACTAGTACATATAATATTATTCAAATTCTTATCAAAACTTCTGCTATAAATTTTGCATCTGGTACAAATGTCTGTTCTCCTTTGTGGGCTTAAAAATATTTATTTGACAGACACTTATCTTTAGGAACTGTCTCAACTCCATACTCTGTGGCAACTCTAGTCTAAGATGGCACCTTAATCATTGAACTCACCTATTGCTCATTTTTGCAGGATTCTGCCTTCAAGTAGCCATTTAATCACCGAATAGATTGGACAGTCTCAATTTAATGCAAGCTCGTGTATGCAGATTTGTTCAGGCTGAAGCAGAGCTTCTCGGCATGCTGGCCACCACATCACCACCCTTTCTTTATTGCTATTTGTGATCATTGATGTCTGTGGCAGCATAGCTGAGAGCCACTACTATGTTCAAGGGTGATACCTAGCTTAAATTTTTTTTTTTTTTTTTTTTTGCGTCCCTGGGTGGGCACAAGCTTTAAAAAATTTTTAATCTGTGAATTTTAATAAAAAATGTACAATCCCTAGTGGAAAGAATCTTTGATGATAGATTTTCAGTCCCTATGTTAGGCATAGGCGCTCTGGTGGCACTATGGTTAAAGCATTGGGCTGCTAACCAAAAGACTGATGGTTCAAACACCCCAGCCACTTCATGGGAGAAAGATGTGGCAGTCTGCTTCTATAAGGATTTACAGCCATGGAAACCCTATGGGGTAGTTCTACTCTGTCTTATAGGGTCACTATGAGTTGAAATCCACTCTGTGGCAGTGGGTTTAGGTGTTAGGTGGTGGAAGGGATGCTTTGGGGTATGAGAAGTTGTCCAGATTCTCCAAAAATTCATGCTGAGTTCTTATTAATTTCACCTACTTATGATTATTAGGAAAGTAGAATAAGTAGAAACCTTAAAAGTCATAAAGTCACAGGCATTCTGGCCTATTTAAACTTGAAGTGTGGAGTGGATTACAAACCAGGGTCCACTTTGCTGCCCTGGTCAGTTTAAGGCCACATTGTATGTTAAATCACAAGTGTCTCTTGTACTGAAAGACATTTGTCTCTTGAGAAGAGTACAATCCACTTAGAAGTACTAAAAACAATAATAATAATAACAAATCCCCCATTGACTTTTCATCATTTTCCAGAGCAATGTTTGAGTCATGGGCAGGCCCTGAAGTGGAGCATTTGTTCTCACGCATGCAGCAGCTTCATTTGCTTGAGTCTGTGTTGCCTTGTTCAGCATCCATTATCATCCGCACTGAAACAGGGAATGGAGTGTTTGCAGAGTGGGGTTGGGTGGGGGTGCTCTGGGACCCTGGAGGCTCTATGAGTGATCCATTCCTGGATGTCTGCATTGTGTGGGGTCCCGTCATTCACTCTGTCACTTGCTCTGACTTGAGTTCTCTCTCCATATCGATTTCGGTTCCTGCCACCATGATGAAGATCAAAGAGGGATCAGGTGGTATAGAGGAAGAAAGCAGAGAAAGTCAGAGAGAAAGAGAAAGAAGAGAATGAGAAAAATTATCAAGCAAAGCAGAAAACAGTTTGTGCAGGAAATACAGAAATCACTCCACCAGAATTGATTAAGAATGCACAGGTTAGGTTCAGCTAGTAGGAAGGATAGTTTGGGACTGTGGAATTTGTACCGTTCTGAGAATTTTCACAATCGTGCATCTTGGTTCAAGAGGATTACAAAATTCTGCCTGTGGAAGGAGTTTGCATTCATCTGGCCCAAACTCTCATTTGACAGATGGCATTCACAGTGAGGCAGGATTGGTCTGGGGTCACCATGATAAGGTGGAGACAGAGCCAGGGCAAGAACCCACATTTCCACCAGGCACTCCAGAGCCCTTATCTTTACTTCACACTGTACATTTCTTGTCTGTTCCCAACCCCCTTCCCCACAGTTCCTGGGAACTCTCAACTTTCCAGTCTTCTTTGTCTTTGCATTTTCCCCAGGACCTGGTACAGTGCCTGGCATAGAGAGATGCTCATTAATACCTACTCAGGGAATGAACAAGGACACCAGGTATGTCTGAATGGGAAGTGTAATGGTTTTAATCTAGACTATTGATCACATTAAGGATGACGGGATTTTTTTTTTTTTTGTATACTAACATAAGGCACATAAGATGGTACCATAAAATCGTAAAATGCAGTAGTGCTTTACTCTGTTAGCTCATCTATGACAGCAAAATGTGACTGCATTTTTATCAGGGTAACATTTATTATTAAAGTTTCCTGTCTTCTAGAGGTGTGAATGAAATAAACCAAACCTCTTCCTTGTGAAGAGGGGTGAGAGTTAAGAATCATCTTTTTATTGAGCTCTTACTATTTCTTGTGCTCCACGGTATGTTATGTACATTAACCCAGTTACCAAAAAAACAAACTCACTGCCGTCAAGTCAGATCTGACTCACAACGACCCCTCCTTGGGTTTCCGAGGCGGTATCCCTATGGAAATAGATCACCCAACCTTCCTTCTGAGGAGTGGGTGGTGGGTTTGAACTGCCAGCCTTCTGGTTAGCAGTCAGATGCCTTAGGCACTATGACACCAGAGCTCTCAATAAAACATTAAAGACAGAAAACAGGCTAAAAAAGGATGAGTAAATTGCTTAGGGACATTCAATAATGTGTCTGGATTTGAGTCTAGAATGTCCTGGGTCCAAAGTCACATTCTTTTCTCTGTGCTCCATATGCACCTTTGTTTTCTTCTTCCAAATGACTCCATGCTTTGCCCTGCACAGTGTTTTGCTTAGAACTCATTCATAGCACTGATACATTCAGCCAGAGATTGAAGGATGTGGATATTTTGCTGACATTGGCATTCCTTGATGTCTAGGACCTTGTCTTTTCCATCTGAACTCCCCATAGAACTCTGCACAGGCATCCCTTAAATGTTTATGGAAACATTTTGTCGAAGGCTCACAAAGCCACCATTTCCCCCACACTGGGCTTGAACTCCAGATTCATCACTCTGTTTATCTATCTATCTATCTATCTGTCTGTCTGCCTGTCTATGTATCTCCCTATCTATCAGAAATTTTGGCTTTAAATTTCTGCCTCGAATTTACCTCCACAGCCTGACAGTGTTCTCCTTGGGCAATTGAGGTTGATCTCTCTTCCTACTGGATTTGAATCATAGGAGAAAGAGAAGGAGGATGCCACTCTACAGTTTATGAGATGAGGGAACCAATCCTCCTTCCTGACTCCCACCTCTCCATTCTAAAGCAAATCTTCTCTCCCTTCCTCTCTCCTTCTCTTCCTTCCTTCTTTTGTCCTTGCTCCTTCCCCCACTTCCTCTCTCCCTCCTCTACTTCTTTCCCTAGCTTTTTTTTTTTGTTGTTGTTACCATGCCTCTTCTTAACTCTGTTACTATAAAACCAAACTGACCACCACTGAGTTGATTTGATTATTGGCTTTCCTAGGCTGTAAACCTTTATGGAAGCAGATTGCTTCTAATTTCTTCTGTGGAGCAGCTGGTGGGTTCAAACCACTGACCTATTGGTTAGCACCATTGTATCACCAGAGCTCCTTTGCTATAGATCAGTTTCTTTCCTTTTTTTCAAATTCTTGTCCTTACAAGTCTTGCACTGAAATCATCTCAGTGGTTTTAAGGGGGCTAAAAACTTGTATTTTTTTCAAATTTATATGAACCATGTGGACATAAGAAGCTCTGATAGTGCAGTGGTTAAAGCATTCAGTTGCTAACCAAAATGTTGGTGGTTCAAACCCCCCAGCTGCTCTGTGGGAGAAAGATGAAGCAGTCTGTGCCCTTAAAGATTTATAGCCATGGAAACCCTATGGGGCATTTCTACTCTGCACTATGGGGTTGGTATGAGTTGGATTCGACTTGATGCAATGGGTTTGGCTTTTCAGTTTATGTGGACATATAGATGATTTATATGGACTATACTATTATATAGGAGCTTTGGTAGCATAGTGCCTAAGGCACTTGACTGCTAACTAGAAGGCTGGTGGTTCAAACCTACCAGCCACTCCTCAGAAGGAAGGTTGGGTGATCTACTTCCGTAGTGATACCGCCTCAGAAACCCAAGGGGGGGTTGCTATGAGTCGGGTCCGACTTGACAGCACATAACTACAACATAACATACTATTATAAAATCACTGGCACATACTGTAGAATATTAGAACTAGTCCACACCTTTTATTTTATGGTTCAGGTGAGGAATTTTGTCCATGGTCACATGTGTTAGGAACAGAGCTCAGGCAAGAACTCTGGGTCCCCTGACTCAGTGCAGAGCTGTGTTCTCTGCTTAACATAGGTACATGGTGGTGATGCCACAATCCTTCCTGCCCAGAGTTAAATCACAAGTTGTCCCAGAAGATTTAGTGCATGTGGCTGATGGCTACACAGAGACTGGCAATGCCACTCAGTTCTGGGCACCAGTAGCAAAATGGTTTCCTGAATTAACAATTGCTAGAGCTGGTTTCAAACAGGTCAACATGCTATTCCCTAAGCAAATTTGGCAACCTGTCTTCAGGCAGAGATAAAATTAGTGTTTATAGGGTTAGCTGGGGTCCACAAGAAGTTTTATTTTGAATCCTAAAATCTCATTAATGAAAGGGGCATTAGGAGAGTTTTTAGTGTATGGGTCTGTTGCAGTTTTGTCCTCAAAATTTTTGAAATATTTCACTGGTTTATGGGGAAGCTAGGAAATATGGTGCCAGGACTACAAAAGCTTCTGGATGCCCATCTAGAGTGGGTATCTTAGGGTAGTCTTGCCAAATTCTCATCCTTCCTTGGTCTCTGGTCAGGTCTCACCATTGCTGGTGACCTCATTATCCTCATAACCAGCCTATTTCATTTTCTTACCTTTACAGGTGGGAATCTTGTTACTCCATGACCCATCCTTCAGACACTCAATCTGGAATGTGTCCATCTCCACATTATCCTAGGAAGAAACATGAAAACATTGTGAGAAAAAAGAAGTGGATATGGGATCAGGCTGGGAGCTCTGGTAGCATAGTGGCTAAGGCACTTGACTGCTAACCAGAAGGCTGGTGGTTCAAATCCACCAGCCACTCCTTGGAAGGAAGATGGGGCAATCCTACTTCCGTAGTGATACTGCCTCGGAAACCCAAGGAGGGGTCGCTATGAGTCGGGTCCGACTCGATGGCACATAACAACAACAACAATGGGGTCAGGCAGTTGTTTCTCAGCCCAGACGTCAAACCTGGCTGTCTTTGACTGATTTTTCAACCATGGTCCTCCAAGATCACACTTGAAGATAAGCAAATAATAGAAATTAAATTCACATTCACCTTTTACACTCTGAAGAGAGGGAGAAGTTGTGTGCAAGAAAGGGATTGGATAATTGTTTGTGAAGGAAGACCTACATTCTTGATTCCTTTTTAGAGCAGTGGTTTTCAAAGTTGAGGGACCATTAGCATCACCTGAAGGGCTTGTTAAAATACAGATTGCTGGGCCCAGTGCCAGATCTTCTGATTCAGTAGGTCTGGGATGAAGCCCAAGAATTTGATTTCTATCAAGTTCCCAAGTGATGCTGATGCTGCTGATCCATAAATCATCCTTTGAGAACCCTTACTTAGACAGCAGTGATCCTCTAGCTTTTCTTTCCATACATTAGACTCACTTAAGGAACATAAAAGAAAAACCAATCATTAGTCTCCAACCCCAGAGATTCTGCTTTAATTGATCTGAAATGAGGCCTGGGAGATTTTTTTTTTTTTTTTTTTCTTTTTAAGCTGACCAAAAACTTCCTAGGAGGACCACTGTTTTACAGAGTGAAAGTGAGTAGTGCTCATCAGTCTGTTTAAATCGGTCTTTTCCTCAATACATATGAAGGTTGTTGAAATGTCAAATATTTTGTTACATATATATTTACTACAATAAAACAGAGTGAGCAAACAAACCAAAAACCTTTTGCTTTCTTCACCAGTTTCCACCGAATGAGCCGGATGAACTTTGTTAAAATTCTTAGTCCTGACTGTAGGGCTGTGTTGGTTCATATTTTTTCAAACTCAAGCCAGCCAACCTCTGACAAAAGATCTTTCACAATTTCCAAAAGTGAGAGATAGTTTGGGACATATGATTTGGATTTTCAGAAAACTTGAACTTCTGGAACATTTTGGTGGTTTATGAGGAAGCTAGGAAACACTGTGCAAGTACTATGAGGATTCTGGAAATCTATCTTCGTCATTAGGTTATGGAGAATTTCCCTGGCCTGATCTTTCCATCCCCGGACTCAGGGCACTGTACCTTTAGCACTTTGTAGCCTGTGTTACAGCTGATGAGCACTTGGTCTTTGAAGAAATACTTGGTCTGCAACGGCTCTATTTTCCCATCGACAGGGGGCTGTAGCTCTGGGCACTCATTCCCTGGCGGGGAACAAATGAAGGGATAGCAAGTAAGAAGACTTGAAAAGTCTCATAGGGAGAGGATCAGCCCCTAAAAATTGAGGTCTGATGGAAGTGGGAAAACCAGAACTGGGTTTGGGACACTTGGGCCTTCAAAGCCATTCCAGAGATGGACTCTGCCACTTTGAGCAAGTCACCATCCAGCTTGAGACCTTCATTTTCTTATTTCTAAAATGAGGAGGTTGGCTAGATCATTTCATTAAAATTCAGGGTTTGAAGAATATTAAATGCCATTGACTCTTGTCTGATGCTTCTTTTACAACATTCTTCAGAGTAGACACCTATAGACATCTGTTTGCTCAATACTTCCCACACCTGTACCTTCCATGCATGGACTTCTCTGATTAAATGAGCAATGTTTCAATATTCAGATAAAAGTTATCTCCCTGTAACTTTTACTAACTGGGCATAGTTTGCCCTCTTATGCCACTGAGAATGACCCCAATCACTCTTTCTGTCCAAGACCACTGTTGAAAATGTTAGCAAGACTGTGATTATCTCTGAGTCATCTCTTCACTAGGCTAAATCTGATAAGATTCCCAGGCCTGGGCCTCTCCCTGACACTTTTTCCAGGTAAACTCTTGTTTGTTAATATTTTCTTCTCCTTTATCCCTAGAGCTGGGCACTGAATATGATAATGCATACAGGAGCAGGGTCCCAGAGTCCATGGACTGTGGGTTAATCATGATCAGCTGTGGTTTTTTTCATCACTGACATCCACCCTCTTCTTCAAGTTACAGCAGACACCTTGGGTCAAATGATCACATCTGGATTTGGGCCAGTACCCACTGACCCTGAGGGATTGAAAAAGAGACCTGTGGGCCTTGTCAGTCTTAGTGTGCCACAGGGAGGCAATAACTGCAATGAAACATTCCGAGCTACAGACCCACAGTATGATTGCAGCCTCAGACATAGAAAAGGCTGGAAGTGGGAGGGGAGCTCTGGTGGTATAGTGCCTAAGGCATTTGACTGCTAACCAGAAGGCTGGTGGTTCAAATCCACCAGCCACTCCTTGGGAAGAAGATTGGGCAATCTATTTCCATAGAGATACTGCCTCGGAAACCCAAGGAGGGGTCGCTACGAGTCCAATAGACTTGAAGGCAGTGAGTTTGGTTTTTTTGGGTTTGGAAGTGGAAGGGCCCTCTCCAGACCTAATGAATCATAGCGTGAGGTGATGAAAAGTTTAGGAGATAAAATTTTTGTTGTAAGTTACACATGTGACTCTGAAGTATAGTAAATTTTGAAGGTTACCAGACTAGTCTAAACCCATCATCATTGCTTTCCCCTGCCCCCATGTTATAGATGGGGAACTGAGTTAGGAGAGAGAATGTGCCTTGGGCAAAGTCCCAAGCTACTCAGTAGGAGAGTTGAGAGTTCTATTAAATCCCCAGAGAAGCCCCAGGCAAACACCCCTGTGGTAGTTAATGTTATGTGTCAACTTGGATGGGCCTGGGTTTGAGTGGCTGGGCGGGTGGATGTAGTTGTTCTCCATGATGAGACTGGTAATCATCTCCATGGTGGAATCTACTGTGAGCAGCTGAGTAGCTGCCTTAGGGATGTGATCTGCTCCCAGTGTATAAGGAGAAGCTTTGGGAATGGTCTGTAGTTTTTGGCACTCTTGAATCCGGCATGTAGCTTAGCTGTTATTCAGAAGCCTGCCATGTTGTCTGCCAGTCTTGAGACTATTAATGAGGTGTGATGCAATAGCCTGCCATGTGGTTTGGTAGTATTGGGACTGTGCCATTTTATTTGATGACCTTGGGCTTGTTAGCCTCAGCAGCCAGCACCTTCCTGAGTGAAGAGACACCTCTAGCTTCAGTGGGCCGGAAGCAAGAGGCAGAGCTGAAGCCCAAGGTTGAGAGGGTGTCACCCAGCCCCTAGAGCCTGGCACTTAAAACTCAACTTCTGGTCTCCAAACTGTAAGAGAATAAACTCCTGTTTGTTCAAGCCATTCTATTTGTGGTAGTTAGGGTTGTTGTCAACTTGGCTGAGCCTGGTTGAGTGCCTGGGCAGCTGGATGTAGTTATTCCCCATGGGGAGACTGGCAATCAGTTCCATGGTGGAATCTACTGGAGCAGCTGAGTAGCTGCTTTAGAGATGTGGCCTGTTTCCAGTATATAAGAAACAACCTTGAGGAAGGTCTTCTGCCTTTTGGCATGCTTGAACCCTGCATATAGCCGGATCATTTTTCAATAGCCTCCTATGCCCTGCCAATCTTGGGACTTCTTCCGAACTTCTTCTGGGCAGGTAGTTTGGTAACATTGGAACTGTACCTGTTTACTTGTCCACATGGGGCTTGTCAATCTCAACAGCCAGCAGCTAAGTGACGAAAAGCCTCTAGCTTCAGTGGGCCGGAAGCAGGAGGCAGAGCTGAAGCCCAAGGGCAAGGGGCTCTCATCCAGCCCCTGAAGTCTGGCACTTTGAACTCAGACTTAAAAACCTCCAAAATTGTAAGAGAAAAAAACTTCTGTTTGTTCAAGCCATCTAATTTGTGGTATATTCTGTTAGAGTGGCAGTAGGTAACCAAAACACCATTTATGGTATCTTCTGTTAGAGTAGCACCAAGTAACCAAAACAACCCTTCTTTTCCCCTGGTCCCTGTGAGGGATGAGTGCTGTGGCTAAGTGACCTGGAGGAGAGAGATGTATTACCTGCTGCCTTATAGGAGAGCTTCCAGCCTCGGTTCTCACCGGAGTTGTCACTGTGGAACAGGATCTGGACACTGTGGCTCTGGGTATTGATGGTTTCTGGGGCTTTCTCTCCACAAAAAGGTCCCAAAATTTTCAGACCAGCTTTAATCTGTGAGGGAGGAGGTAGAAAGAAATGTCACTTTGGAAATGGCCACCGTAGCCACTGCAGGACAATCCCTGCACTGCCCTTTGGGGCTTTCTGGAGCCCATGGTATTAACTTATGTCATTGGTGGGCTTTCTCACTCACCAAAGAGTTTCGTCTCCACGCTCATACATACAGTTTCCAATGGCTCTGGAAATGGACAAAGCACGCTAATAATCCTCTGCTTAAATATAAACACATTGTGGCTCAGAAAAGTATAGAAGTCTACATAAGAGCACCAGGTAGACAAAATTTATCTTTAAAAGAACCAACAATTTAATCAGGACAGTAACAAAAAATAGTAAACAAATTAATGACAGGCTTTGGTAAGAGTTATCAAAAATAATCAAGATGATATATATAGTATATCATGTATGCTGTTTATTTATAATTTATACAGAAAAATTTATGTAACATATATAATTCATTATTTATATAGATAATAACATGAATGGGGTAACTTAGGTGGTCAGGGAAGGCCTCTTTGAGGAAGCAACATTGGATCTAAGACTTGTAAGATGGGTAGGAGCTTGTTATATGAAAAGGGGAATGTACAGGCAGAGAGAACAGCATATGTAAAGGTCAAGGTCAAGGCCAGCATATGTAATGAACTTGACAAGTTTTGAGAACGGAAAGGAAGCTAATGTGTTTGCTTGGATCAGAGACAGTAGTATGGCAGAGAGGGCTATGGAATGAGATTGAAAACACTGGCAGGGGACATGTTGTGTTGAGAAATTTAGATTTAATTTTAAGTACAATCTTCATTTAATCTAGCTTTTATAAAGATAAGCCTGGATGTTATGGGAGAATAGATTGCGTAGTGCAAGAGGGGAGGTAAGAAAATCAGTTAGGAAGTTCCAGAGCTGACCAGGAGACAGAGAGAATGGTGGTTTGGACCAGATGGAGGCAGTGGAGATGGATAGAAGAGAATAGTTGTTACTAGGTGATCCACAATTCTCAACTCCCAGGCCAGGGTCCTTCTTACATTTTTCACCCATTTTCCTTCCATCTATAAGGACCAGGCCTCCTTAACCCTCATTTGGTGACTTCCACAATCTTGGGTGATATGTATGTCTTATCATGTTTACTCTGAGGAGGGGAAAATGAATAAATAAATAAATAAAAACTACCAGAGGTTAAGGCTTACATGCATAGCTCCTGGGATATGATGTATATAGATTCAATTCTAAAGTCTTCTCATGGTCTCTCCTGATATGACTTTCTGATGTAAGTTACACAGCAAAAGAAATTTTGCAGATGTAATTGACATTACCAATCCATTGACCCAGAGATGGGGATATTATCTAGGTGGGTCTAACCTAATCTTCTGTGTTCTTTAAAGATGCCATTTTCTCAGCTGGTAGCAGAAGAGAAAATCAGATTTGAAACGTGACAGGGATTTGAGGGAGGGAGGTTCTCCATTGCTAAGATGAAGGCAGTCAGTCATGTGGGAAGACTTGCTGGTGACAACTGGCAAGAAGATAAGGACCTCAATCCTATGCCCACAAGGACTTGAATTCTGTCAACAACTTCTATGACCTTGGAAGTGGACTCTTTCTGAGCCTTCAGAGAAGAGCTTAGTCTGGCCAACATCTTGATTTTGGCCTTGTAAGACTCTAAGCAGAGAAGCCAGCTGAATACACTTGGACTTCTGACCTACAGAACTGTGAGCTGATAAATGGGTGTCATTATCCAGCAATAGAAACTAATGCTTTATGCTTCCTGGTAGCCCATCTGGAGTCAAGCTGACTCTTAGCTTCTTTATCCAAGTATCTAAGTTCTTAAGTTTCTTTTCATAGATACTCATGCTTCTCTGGCCCTCCTATCTGACTCTTCTTTGACATTTGCCATGGTTGACAGACTTTCTTCGACAGTCTCATCTTTTGGCTCCTTTTGACGCCTTTGACTGTTCTTCTCAACCTCATTTCTGGGCACCTCTTCCTCTGCCTAGTTGACTTTAATGATGTGGATGGAGTAAAGCTTTTGGGACTTCCATTTGCTGATGGAGCATGACTCAAAATGGAAAGAAACAGTTGCAAACATCCATTAATAATCAGAAATAGACTGTATGAAATATGAATCGAGGAAAATTGGAAGCAGCATCAGGACTGGAGGTATACTCATTAACAACCTGCAATATGCAGATGATACAACCTCACTTGCTGAAAGTGAAGATGACTTGAAGCAATTACTGATGAAGACTAAAGACTACAGCCTGCAGTATGGATGACACCTCAACATAAAGAAAAGGAAAATCCTCACAACTGGACCAATAAGCAGCATCACAATAAATGGAGAAAAGATTGAAGCTGTCAAAAATTTCATATTACTTGGCTCCACAATCAGCACTCATGGAAGCAGCAGTCAAGAAATCAGACATCATATCACACTGGGAAAATCTTCTGCAAAAGGCCTTTATAAAGTGTTGAAGAGCAAAGATGTCACTTTGAAGACTAAGGTGTGCCTACTAACCCAAGCCATGGTATTTTCAATCACCTCATATGCATGTGTAAGCTGAACAATAAATAAGGAAAACCGAAGAAGATTGATGCTTTTGAGTTGTGGTGTGACAAAGAATACTGAAAGTACCATGAACTACCAGAAGAATGAACAAATCTGTCCTGGAAGAAGTAAAGGCGAAATGCTCCTTGGAAGCAAGAATGGCCAGACTTGGTCTCAGGTACTTTGTTCATGTTGTCAGAAGGGACCCTTCCCTGGAGAAGTATATCATGCTTGGTAAAGTGGAGGGTCAATGAAAAAGGGGAAGACCCTCAACAAGATGGGTTGACACAGTGGCTGCAATGCTAGGCTTGTTCTGTTTTACATAGTGTTGCTATGAGTCAGAGCTGACTTGACAGCACCTAACAACAACAGCAACAATTTCCTCTGCTTAGGTCTCCAAATCTGTTGTGCTCTTCCATCTCCTTGTCTACGAAGTCCCACATATTTGTATGCTTTAAACCACCACATATTTATACACTTGAAAGGAGGCTATCTTTATCTCCCATTCAGCATCTCTCTTGAGATCAGATCCTTATATTCAGATGTGTGGTCCACTTGGATGTTTTAGCCAATCACTCTGCAAGAATTGCTGATTTTCCTTTTTACATATGTCAAAAATAGCTCCCCACCACCTAGCCACATGTCAAATTCAGGCTACCTTCACATTTTATCTACAACATTGGAATAACCAAAAATAAAGTTATTATTGGCCTGTGGGCATTGTCTTTCTACTTTATTTGCCTTTCACATAGCCTCCTTCCCCCAAGTAGGAATATATAATTTCAGGGCCTAGGGCAAAAGGAGAATGTAGCCCCTTGTCAAAAAAAATTAAGAATTTTGAGATATAGAGACTGGTGGAACTTCCGAGACTATGGTCCTTAGACACCCTTCAAGCCAGGAACTGAACACACTTCCATGGCTCAACTTTCAGCCAAACAATAGACAACCTTATAAGGTGAAGAACAATATGAGAAAAGTATGCATGTTAGAAGAATCAACCATATGAGATTAAAAAAGCATAATTTGCCCAGAAGGCAGAACAGGATAGGAAAGAAGGACAAAGGGAAATGGTAAACATAGGGAGGAAGTGGGAAGAGTGCTATTACATTGGGGTGTTGCAATGAATGTCACAAAACAAAATGTGTATGCAATGTTGAACAGAAAACCAATTTGCTCTTTAGCTTTCAGCCTGATCACAATTATAAAAAAAAAAAAAAAAAAAATTCAACATAGTGGTTAAACCAACATAGTCATTAAACCAAGCATAGGCCCTTCTGAGCACAGAGCCCTGTGTAATTTGGACAAGTTGCGTGCTCATGAAGCTGGCTCTACAGCAGATTTAACTCTAAGATTCTCCTGTTTAAACTACCCTGGTGGCCAGAAGCCCAGTTTGGGACCCAGAAAGCTCCCTAGACTGGACCCGGTTAAGCTGGTAGATATTATTTTAAATAATTACCTTTTTTGAAAACTAGTTTCTTGGCCTTCTACCCTGGGAGAAGTTAAAGAGCCCAGAATATCAATTTGCTTAAGCCAGCCAAGATTTTCCATGCTCGCTGGAGCAAGTGTCCTCTACAGGCTTACCTTGATGTAGTCGTAAGGGCAGGACACCTCAGGATGGTCTTCAATGTCGAAAATGTCCTCAAATTGCAGGCTGACCATGAAACCTTCCTCCAGCTCTATCGTATACAAACATTCAGAGCTCTTGGGGTAAGGGTTGGGGAAGTCTGGGCTTGTGATCATGCCGGTCCTCTGGGTAAAGAGGTTGTCACTGCACTCCACTGTGGGAAACATATCAGGGAAAATGGCATATTGCAGCCATACCACAGCATCCCTTTCTTATTTGTTACCCAGTGGTCCCAGAAGGTCAGCAGGAACAAAATCATTATTCCATTTTACACATGTGGTAACTGGAGCTCTTTGAGAGGAAGTGATTTATTCAAGGTCATACACTTAGTCATTTTCAAATCCAGGATTTCTAGTTCTCTATCCAGGGCTCTTTACCCTGTCTGATAATTTTTCTCATCAAATTCTCTGATATTGATGGTGTGTGGGGCTGGGGTAAAAGGAATCCATGGGATGGGAAGGTTTTAAGACAAAACAGTTGGGGGAAATGTCTGGACTTCTTTTGTCCTGCTCTTCCCTCATCCCAGACTGTCATTCTGATCTGTTTGAAATCTTCCTTGGGCTCTCATTGAACACAGGCTTCCCCAATTTACACACACCCTCACTCTCTAACTTCTGATCTTGCTTTATTTTTCTTCATAATACTGACCATTCCTCGACATTATGCAATATATTTGTTTATTTTCTTGTGCCTCCCTTCAGACCGTAAGTTCCACGAGCTCACGTATTTTCCTTTGTTTCCCAACTGCGTTTACTATTACCAAGGACCACCCCCCCACCCCAGAAAAACCTAACCCACTGCCATTGAGTCAGATCTGACTCATAGCTACCTCTCCTCGGGTTTCTGAGGTGCTTTCACTGCAGAAGTAAATTGCCCTATCTTCCTTCTGAGGAGAGGCTGGTGGGTTTGAACCTCCAGCCTTCTGGTTAGCAGTCAAATGTCGTAAGCACTACATCACCAGAGCACCTACCAAGCACCCGGCATCCTGGGATTCTGAGCATGCCTTAGCCCTGCTCATGCACTTTTATTTGCCACTGAACCCCCCTTGGGCCAACCAGTCCTGCATCTGGGATGTCAATCCTTTCTGGACCCTCATTCATCTTGCTCATTTGGAAATAAGAAAACTAGTCTAGAAAAAGGAACGTGCCTAATTTAGAGTCACCCAGCTGTGAGTTTCAGAGCAAAGTTTGGATTTGAGTCTTTTGAATTGTGACCTGTTTTCATTTTCCAGCCCATGGTTATGGAGGCAATATCACCCTCAAGGGGCTAAAATTCCCCAAGGGGAGAGTCTTACTCTTTTATACATAATACACAGATATGCATACAGTACATAAACAGATAAAGAGTGTATCAGTGGCATTAACATTTTATGGAGGGCAGAAACTAGGAAAAAGTTTGTGGAAGGAGTGAAAATGAAAAGAAAAAGTTTGAGAGACCCTGTTGTACCTTGTGCATTCATGTTGTTAGTTGTCATCAGGTCAGTTGTGACTCATAGCTACAACAGAACCAAACATTACCTGGTCTTACACCATCATAATTGCTGCTATATTTAAGCCCATTGTTGTTTTCACTTGACAATCCATCTTGTTGAAGGTCTTTCTCTTTTTTGTTCACCCTCTACTTTAGCAAGCATGATGTCTATGATAGTTAAGGTTGTGTGTCAACTTGGCTGGACAATGATTCTAATTGATTTAAGGAGTTATGATATAGTCATCTCCCATGATGAGATCTGATATAATGTAATCACCTCCATGGTGAAATGTACTATGAGCAGCCAATCTGTCGAAAGGGATTTTCCTCAGGGGTATGGCCTGCTTCCGATATATTTATATATGGACGTCATGGGAAAATGCTCAGGAGCTCTGGTGGCATAGTACCTAGGGCATTTGACTGCTAACCAGAAGGCTGGCAGTTCAAACCCACTAGCTACTCCTCAGAAGAAAAATGGGTCAATCTACTTCCATAGTGATACCGCCTTGGAAACCCAAGGAGGGCTCGCCATGAGTTGGATCTGACTTGATGGCAATGAGTTTGCTTTCGGTGTTTGGGAAAATTCTCTGACTTTTCTGCTGGATCTTGATCCTGCATCTAGCTTATCATCTCTGGTTCCTGAATTTGAATCAGTGGCCTGTCCTATTGTTTATTGATCTTGGGATTGTTGCCTCCATAGCCTGTGAGCCAACAATCTGCCATGTTACGTGCCAATTTGGATTTATCATCCTCCTGAGCCAGCAGCCTGCTATACTGCCTGAATATCTTGGGCTTGTCAGTCTCTGCAGCTGTGTGTGTTAAGAGAAGCCTCCAGCTTAAAGTTTGTTCTATGAACTTGGGACTTGACAGCTTCTACAAATGCATAAGCCATTTTCTTGAGATAAATTTCTCTCTCTCTACATATATATATGTTCAAACCCACCAGCCACTCCTCGGAAGGAAGATGGGGC